GTAGTAAATTAGGAATAGAGAGCATAGATGGATGAACATGAACACACCACCTGGCAGCCTCCTGAAATACTTTAACAAACCCAAATATATAATTAAAACAAATTTATCTATAAGAGAAGGTAAGTCATAACAAAATAATCATATTGGAAAGTGTGCTTAGGTAAACCAAAATGTATCTGAATTCGAAACACCAGACTTACACCCAGAAGATTTCATATTAATCTGACCACTTTGAACCAACACTAACAAAACTCAACAGCTACATATATTTAAATCAAAACATTAATTCATAAAAAGTATAGAAGATAGAATTGTATTTAGGTGCTATAGAAAAAGTATTGTAGAGGAGCAATGCCAACAATAATTTTTAAAGTACAAAAAATTAAAGCTATAAGGTAGTGATGCCTTGTAGTTTTCATTTACATTTCCCTAATGATTAATGATGTTTGAGTATCTTTTCATGTACTTATTTGACAGTTGTTTATCTTCTATAGATAAGTGTCTATTCAACTCTTTTGCCTATTTATTTATTGGAATGTTTGTTTTTTAATTGAATTTGGTGATTTTTTCTATAGTCTGTATACAAGTACTTTATTAGATATGATTTGCAAACACTTTCTCCCAATCGGGGCTTCTCTTTTCACTCTCTTAACAGTGTCTTTGTTAGACCCAGAGTTTTTAACCTTGATGCATTCCAAATTATTGATTTATTTATCTAAGGAATTTTTTATGTAACTCAAGGTCACGATTATACTCTCCTGTGTTTTCTCTACAAGTTTTATACTTTAGGTTTTATATTTACATCTATGATCCATTTCAAAGTGCCTTTCGCATTGTCTTTTGTATGTGGTACAATATATAGATCACAGTTTATAATTGTATATATGAATATCCACTTGTTTCAGCACAATATATTGAAAATATCACCCTTTATCCATTGAATGGCTTCTTCACCTTTGTCAAAAGTCAGTTTTCCAATATATTTTATATAGGTCAATTCCAATATATAGGTCAATTTTTAGGTGGTTTATTTTGTTCCTTTGATCTACTTTTCTGCCTTGATGCGGTAGCATACTGTCTTGATCACTATGGGTTTGTAAGAAGTCCTGAAATCAGATAGTGTTTGACATTCATTTTTGTTTTCTCAAAGTTGTTTTCATAGTCTAGATCCTTTGTATTTTTACATGAATTTTAGAAACAGCACTTCAGGTTCTTTTAGAACTATATTAGTTAGGATTTTTATTGAGATTCTTCTGAATATGTAGATAGGTTTAAACAGAACAGGCATCTTAACAATACTGAGTCTTCCAATTCATGAAGACAGTATATCTCTCTATTTTGGTCTTCTTTAATTTCTCTTAGCAATGTTATTTAGTGTTCACTGTACAGACCTGTCACATATTTGGATTGATTATTTCTAATTATTTCATATTTCTTAGTGCTCTTATAAATGCTAGTATTTTGAATTACATTTCTGCATATTTTATTTTCACTGAGCTCTCAGCAGCCAAATGTTTAAAAGTAGCTGTTAACTAATCTTCTAGGTTGAGATCTTAGACTATGAAATGGAAAAGGCACCTCATATTTAACAAGCATTTGCCTGTGTTTTCATGTCAGCTTTCATAAGTTATTGAAAATGTACTGTAACTAGAGGAAAAAATGTCCCAGAGACAAATCAACAGGTCATCTTCAGAAAAATCTATTGGTAAAATAGTTTAGTAGATTTCAACTTTATATGTGGTCAGAATTGAATAGATTGAATTATGGGGTTTATTTTGTTACCTACTCCCTACCACCAGCAATCCATCTCAATGAATTCTTGGGATCTGGGGTAGTGAGAGAGAGAGAGAGAACATGTATGTATGTGGGTATGTACATGTGTATGAATGTATATATTGCTGAAACTGCCAGAAATGTTTATTGTGAGGATTACTTCAGGTTAATGACTGTAGTCATATCAGACCAGTTCATTTCCTAGGACATACTACAAAACAAATCAAAGTGATGGTTATTTTCTGAGCTGTCTTGGCCCACATTGTCACCATGGTGATTTAGTGACTGCCATGAAATTTGGTGCAGGATGAGCATTCATTTTTGTTTTCTGCCTGAATCACATATTATTATGGGAGTTGTTAAGTGGCTGTTTTCCAATTCTGATATTCCTTCTGGAAAATCAGTTTGCATTTGAGAAAAAGATAGAGCTTTTTCTTCTTCCTTATTTATTTATCAGTGTATTTATTAATATTTATTTATGTCAATATGACTCAGAGATTTCCATGTTCCTCAAAGGTTTACCCTGTGTAATTATTAGTATATATTTTTTTTGTATTAGGCCATTCTTGCATTGTTATGCAAAAATACCTGAGATGGTAATTTATGAAGAAAAAGGTTTAATTGGCTCACTGTTCTGCAAGCTGGACAGGAAGCATGGCCCCAGGATCTCCTTGGCTTCTAGGAAAGCCTGAGGGAGCTTTTAATCATGGCAAAAGGCAAAGCAGTAGCAAGCATGTCACATGGCAAGAGTGGGAGCAAGAGAGACAGACAAGGGAAAGGTTTCAGACTTTTAAACAACCAGATCTTGCATGAACTAACTGATGGAGAACTCACTTATCACTAAGGGGATGGCACTAAACCATTCATGAGAAATCCACCCCCATGATCCAGTCACACCCCATCAGGCTTCATCTTCAACAGTACAATTCTACATGAGATTCAGAGAGGACAATATCTAAACCATATCAATTTTGGTGCTCAAGTCTTCTCAAATTGGCCAGTGGGAGCCCCTTAAAGTAGGCCTCGTGTCCATTTAAAGCTTCCATAAAATTCCTTGATTTTGTACTTGGCCCTCTAAGCCTATTCCTTATCTGTAAAAAGGAAGCTCTGATGTCAGCCTCAGAACATCACTTTGAGGTCTTGAAGAAAAGAAGCCTGAAAATAACAACCTACAGTGTGTGGTACCTAGTAGACTATCAGCAAATGGTAATTCCCTATTCTATCCAACTTGCCTCCTCCATTCTGTCAATGGGATGCCTCTGGCATTAACATAATGGCCTGACTACTAGAGCGAATACTTGAAAATGGAACATCAAGCAGGAATAAGCTCACATTTTCATTATGTGTGAGCTTTAGTGTCACTGCTGTGTGTGGGAGGGGTTCTGGGATGGAGTTGAGGAAGAAGAAAAGCATCATTGCACAGCTTCCAGTTAACTGGGTGGGAATAGGCAAGACATCATCACCCCATCCCCTGCATTTTATGTGCTTTCTCATCCTCTTACTTTCTTCTCTATTCCATGTGCTTTCCTATCCTCTTAACTCTCCTTCTAGTTTAACATCAGAGACTCTGAAATCCTCTTAGGTTACTGAAACAAGAGGAAAGAGACCCAGACCACATCATGGGGATACTTTAGGCAAGTCATACCTTTCTGCTAGCTTTGTCTATCCAACAGGATAATAATCCTCACACCTCTAGACTACCCAGGAATACTCTGGAATTTAAGTGTGATCCCTTGTGGCAATCTGTGGTCTTATGTGGTGGGGAAGAACCAATGCACTTGCAGCTAGTTATATTAACAGAGAAACTGCAGATGTCCCAGCACTCTGTATAGTGGGCATTAAATTTATAATACCCAACTCTGAGCTGTTGAGGTCAGGATTTTTACAGGTATGATCTATGGAACACTTTGTCAGATATTTTCATAGTTGCTTGCTAAAATGCAGATACTTGGGCCTGTCCTAGATCTACAGAATCAAAACCAGGGAGGTGAGGTGAGAGGTGTCTACATTTTGAGTAATTTCTTTTGTTGTTTCTGTTACTCATCCATGTTTGAAAAGCACTGCTGTGGATGGCAACAAGGTCTATGAAAAGTTTGAATCATTTGATGTCTAATTTCAATATTCACACCTGAGGGTAGAGGAAGAGAGGAGAGTAAGGATTGAAAACTACCTATTGGGTACTATGCATATTACCTGAGTGGCAAAATAATCTGCACACCAAACCCCTGTGGCACACAATTTGCCTGTATAACAAACCTTCACATGTACTCCTAAGCCTAAAATTAAAGTTAAAAAATAAAAATTTTTAAAATAAGTAAAATCAAAAGCCATATAAGACAAATATAGGTAAATTTGACAGCTAATTTAACAAAAGATACCACAAACGGAGGGAGAGGACTCCAACAGATTGGAGGAAAATATGCCATTTTTATAATAAAGAATGAGTATCTGCATCATAAATAAGAAAAAAGAAAAAGAAGACTCATTTGTAAGACTATTAAGCTTTATTGAATTTATTGAATTGGCTTGATTTAATCTTTCCACAATGTAAACATATATCAAAACATTATAGTGTACCCTATAATATATATAATTATTTCTCAGTTAAAATTAAAATTAAAAAAATACCTGAGGTGATAAATAGGATTCAGTTGTAAGACTATTAAGCTTTCTTTTCCCAATATGTCTGCCTTAGAATTTTCAAATTAATGTGATCCCTGGCCATTTATATTTTAAAAACCAGAACACAGGGACTTTTTAAATTTTTATTTTCATTTTAAGTTTCCTGGTACATGTAAAACATGGTTTGCCCTCTTTTAAGTACTGTATAATTCTGGTTTTACTGATAAGACTTTGAGTGTTTTTATGGTGAAATAAAACAATTCAAAGTCACAAGGTTTTTACATGGCAGAATAGGGTTTGTCTCCAGTCTATATCCAGAGCCCACACTCCTAACCAGTATACTTAGGAAAAAGAAACAGACATTTATTGAACTATGTCAGCCCATGGTGGTTGGTGTAACATTGAGACCAACCATAGATAGCTCTTTTATCTATGCTTCTGTAGTCATTCTACGGTGTACCAGATGGTACTTATTTAAGAAAATGTAATAATTTTAAAAATAAAAACATTACTAAACATCATAATTACTTCGTACTAGGCAACCTGGCTGTTGAGGTAGATAATTCCTTGGACCCCCATGATGAATGAATTTTTTTCCCTTTTAGGAACTCAGAGTGGTTTTCCAGATGGGAATCACATTGCTCTCTGTCCCTGAGATCTTGCTGGAGGCAGGGCTACTCAGACCCTCTTTGCCAGGTGAGTATAGATGCAGTGTGGGGACTTGCTCAAGGGCACCTAGAGTTACTGGGATAGGTCTGGTGCTATAGCCAAGTATGTCTCCTGCTTCATATCCAGCTGCATGTCTATTATACATAGCTGTATTAATTCATTTTCATGCTCCTGATAAAGACATACCCAAAACGAGGAACAAAAAGAGGTTTAATTGGACTTACAGTTCCATGTGGCTGGGGAGGCCTCAGAATCATGGTGAGAGGTGAAAGACTTCTTACATGGCAGCAGCAAGAGAAAATGTGGAAGAAGCAAAAGCAGAAACCCCTGATAATCCCATCAGATGTCGTGAGACTTCTTAACTATCAGGAGAATAGCACAGGAAAGACCAGCCGCCGTGATTCAATTAACCCTACCCCCATACCTCCCACATGTGGGAATTCAGGGAGATAAAATTCAAGTTGAGATTTTGATGGAGACACGGCCAAACCATATAATTCCACCCCTGCCCCCTCCAAATCTCATGTCCTCACATTTCAAAACTAATAATGCCTTCCCAACAGTCCCTGAAAGTCTTAACTCACTTCAGCATTAACCCAAAAGTCCACAGTCCAAAGTTTCATCTGAGACAAGGCAATTCCCTTCCACCTATGAGCCTATAAAATAAAAGCAAGCCAGCTACTTCCTAGATATAATGGGGATAGAGGTATTGGATAAACACTGCTATTTCAAATGGGAGAAATTGGCCAAAACAAAGGGATTACAGGGTCCACGCAAGTCCAAAATCCAGCAGGGCAGTCAAATTTTAAGGTTCCAAAATGATCTCCTTTGACTCCAGGTCTCACATACAGGTCACACTGACATACAGGTCACACTGACACAAGAGGTGGGTTCCCATAGTCTTGACAGTTCTGCCCCTATAGCTTTGAAGGGTACAGCCTCCCTCCTGGCTCCTTTCATGGGCTGGCATTTAGTGTCTGCAGCTTTTCTAGGCATATGGTGCAAACCGTCAAGGACTCTACCATTCTGGGGTCTAGAGGATGGTGGCTCTCTTCTCACAGCTCCACTAGGCACTGCCCCAGTAGGGACTCTCTGTGGGGGCTCCAACCCCACATTTTCCTTCTGCATTGTCCTAGCAGAAGTTCTCCATGAGGGCCCTGCCCCTCCAGCAAACTTTTATCTGGGAATCCAGGAGTTTTCATACATCTTCTGAAATCTAGATGGAGGTTCCCAAACCTCAATTCTTGACTTATGTGCACCTGCAAGCTCAACACCATGTGGAAGTTGCCAAGGCTTGGGGCTTCCACCCTCTGAAGCCACAGCATGAACTGTATGTTGGCCTCTTTCAGCCACAGCTGGGACACAGGGCACCAAGTCCCTAGGCTACCCACAGCTTGGGGACCCTAGGCCCAGCCCATGAAACCTTGGGCCTCCAGGCCTGTGACAGGAGGAGCTGCCGTGAAGGTCTCTGACATAGCCTGAAGACATTTTCCCCACGGTCTTAGGGAGTAACATTAGGCTCCTTGCTATTTATGCAAATATCTGCAGCCAGTTTGAATCCCTCCCCAGAAAATGGGTTTTTCTTCTCTGTTGCATAGTCAGGCGGCAAATTTTCCAAACTCTTATGTTCTGCTTCCCTTATAAAACTGAATGCCTTTAACAGAACCCAAGTCATCTGTTGAATACTTTTCTGCTTAGAAATTTCTTCTGCCAGGTACCCCTAAATCATCTTTCTCAAGTTCAAAGTTCCACAAATTTCTAGGGCAGGGGCAAAATGCCGCCAGTCTCTTTGCTAAAACATAACAAGAGGCACCTTTCTTTACTCCAGTTCCCAACAAGTTCTTCATCTCCATCTGAGACCACCTCAGTCTGGATCTTATTGTCCATATTGTTATCAGCATTTTTGGCAAAGCCATTCAGCAAGTCTCTAGGAGGTTCCAAACATTCCCACATTTTCCTGTCTTCTTCTGAGCCTTCCAAACTGTCCCTACCTCTACCTGTTACCCAGTTTCAAAGTTGTTTCCACATTTCTGGGTATCTTTTCAACAATGCCCCACTCTACTGGTATCACTTTACTGTATTAGTTCATTTTCACGCTACCAATAAAGACACTCAAAACTGGGAACAAAAAGAGGTTTAATTGGAATTACAGTTCCACGTGGCTGGGAGGCCTCAGAATCATGGCGGGAGGTGAAATGCCCTTCTTACATGTGGTGACAAGAAAGAGAAAATGAGGAAGAAGCAAAAGCGGAAACCCCTGATAAGCCCATCAGATCTTGTGAGACTCATTAACTCTCACAAGAAAGAATAGCACAGGAAAGACTGGCCCCCATGATTCAATTATCTCCCCCTGGATCCCTCCCACAACACATGGGAATTCCAGGAGATAAATTCAAGTTGAGATTTAGATGGGGACACAGCCAAACCATTTCAACAGCATTAGCTGTGTTCATATCTGTAGTGCTTCACTTTTCAAGGGCTCAGAGGATTCGTGCTTCTCTGAGGTTAACCTGCAGATAATGTACAAGAACACTAAGTACCTTCAAATAAGAAAAAATGGGGTGTTTATTTTTTTATATAGCCCAAACTGTACTGGGAAATTAGAAGAAAAATTCTGAGAATCATACATCATGTTCTCTTTTCTGTCTAACTTTTTTCATTCAATCAACATACTGTATGTGAGATTTACACTTATTGTTGTCTATAGTAGTAGACTATTCATCATCACTGGTGGATATTATTGCATCAAGTGGATATTTCACAATAAACATCTGCTATGTGGATTTTTTCTAGATTTTGACATGAATAACAGCGGTATGAATGTCTTGTACATATCTTTGGATAAACATTTATTTTTCTTTCTCTTGGGTTCATACCTTCCCCAGACCTAAGAATGAAATTTCTGAGTTGTAGGGTGTGTATATGATCAGCTCAGTTAATACTGCCAAGCACTTTTTCAAAGTGGTTGTTGAATTTATATTTTCACCAGTGATGTGAGAATTACACAGCTTCCATATCCTCACCAACACTTGGTGTTTTCCATCTTTTAAATTTTCTTTCTCTGGTGTACGTGTTGTGGTATCTCATTATGGTTTTAATTTTACTTTTTAAAAATTTCTCAATTTAACTCTCTGGAGTTTTAAATCTCTTTTAATCTAAAGACAGTTCTTTCTCTCTCTCTCTCTCTCTCTCTCTCTCTTTTTTTTCGCTTTTCAATTTACATATTGAGTATCCCTGATCTGCAAATCTGAAAGGTTCCAAAATTTGAAATTTTTTCATCATTGAAATGATGCTCAAAGGAAATGCTCAATTGGAGCATTTCAGATTTTGGATTTTCAGATTAGGGATATTCAACCTGTATTTGCTTATTAAACTGGATCTTTGGTTTGCGGAGTTTACATTCTCAGTTTTGCTGATTGTATCCCCATTGTGCTGTTACTTACATTGCTCTGACCCCTCCTATTTTCTGTAAATTAGTAGAGTTAGAGGCTTCATCCAGTTCAGGATTTTTTGGCAAGAGTACCTCAGATGTGTTACATACTTCCTATATCCTTACACCAACTCTTAGTTCAGGCTGCTTTACCAAATTACCACAGACTAGGTGGCTTAAATAACAAACATTTATTTCTCATGAGTCTGGAAGCTAGAAGTCTAATCAGGGTGCCAGTATGGTTGGGTTCCTGGTGAGGATCCTCTTCCTGGTTATGTCCTCACATGGCCTTTTCTTGCTGTGTGCATGCAGAGAGCAAGCAAGCTCCCTGTGTCTCTTCTTCTAAGGACACAAATCTCATAATGAGGGCTCCACTTTGATGACCTAATTATTTCCCAAAGGTCGTATCTGCAAATACTGTCACATTGGAGATTAGGGTTTCAACATATGAGTTTTGGGAGGACACAAGCATTCAATTCATAGCATACCAGGAGCCTCATTGTGTCTGATTGTCACTCCTACCTTGACATTAAGATTGAGCACTGGGCTCAGATATTGTTAGACTGATCAATCAATCAATTATGAAATTTCCTATTTGCTTTCCAACTCATGATTTTTTACAATGCCTGAAGATCTTTATTAAGATCTGCATTTCATTAAAAATTCTAAAATGATGATGTTTAGATTCTACAATTTTTTCTGCATTTATTAGCTGGACATTTTCTATAAGAGAAACTTCCCCCGCCCCTGCCAACTATTAGGCTTAAGTGAGGTATGGCTCACACAGGAAGGGTAGGACAAATATTTAATCATTTTGCAGTATTTCCAGTTTTAAGAATAAGGATTGTTTCTGTAGGATCCTCCACAGATGAGCAGTGAGTTGGTTTTGTGTTTTGTTTTTCTTTTAGAGTATCATGACTCAGAGATGTTTCTGTATGTGATGCGTTTTAACTCACTGTAGGCACTAATGTTTTTGATGCTCATATTGTTTTTTTGTTGTTGTTGTTTTTGGTCTGTGGAAGCCCTATCAGGCTGGCTTCTGAGTCTTGACGTGTTCACTGGTATGATCATTCGGTCCAGACTCATCTGGTACAGTTCGACTAGAGACTTGGATTCAGCCATTTTTCATTGTGCCTTTTAGTGGGTAATATTTTTAAAAGACTAAATCTGGGTATTAGAGTTGCTCATTGCTGCTAGGTTGGCCATTGTTCCTTAACTTTTTCAATGCATCAAGCCAGTAAATAGATGTTACATTTTTAAGAGAATATACACGATCAACTTCCATCCTGGGCTGCTACTCTGTTCCCTCATAAGTAATTATTTTTATCAGTTTTTGTTTTAACCTGCTGGTTTAGATAATATAACAGAATATTATATGGATATTAGTTTTCTCTTCTCCTCAGAGATAAAATGTGGCATATTCTACCTCAGTCAAAATTCTAGAAGCTCAGAGGTGTTTGAGATATCCCTTCTAAGGTAAAGGATAAATAGTTGCACCTCACCTCTCCTACAACCAAAAAAGAGGTACACCATCTGGTGGGCTTCTTTGGATTTTGGAGGCAATATACTCCTCATATGGGTGTGTAACTCTGACCAT